CTCCAGGTGTATCGTGCACGTGCAGCAGAAGACCTTTTCCTGTAGTAGAGCTGGGATGGTTTTATTCACTGTAAAATAAATAGGGTGTTTTAACTTAAAGGACCCATGTCATGCTTTTTCCGGTTATTACCCGTCCCCTTGTGTGTTATGAAGGTTTTTATGCATGTAAACGGTGTGCAGAGTCAAAACCATCAAAGTACACCCTGTAGCGAGTAAAACTCTAACACAGAAAATACCTCCCGAAAACGCCTCGTTGGAGATACGTCATTGTCCATTTGATTCTTCCGGGTACGGGGTGACCGTAACCCAGTACCCGGAACGAAATGGACCAATCCGTGGAGCCGTTACGTTATGTCCGCGGAGCCGTTACGTTAAGCCCCCGCTGATTGGTCCAAATTGACCAATCCACGGACTTCCTCACACACACACACAGTGCAGGCAGCTCTGCTGATTTCTCCTCCCTGGCTGCAGGCTGATAACAGACAGTTGGGATCGCGGCGAAATTCTCTCTGCAGACCCATTCTCACAGCGTTTATCAACCTTTTTCTTACTCAATATCAAGCCACACTTATTGTTTTTACTTCGGCTGTGACTTTGTGTGTGCTCAGGATGAGTTTGGCTGTGTTTCGCTGTGTATCGCTAACAAGGAAACAACACCTCCACGGAGCTCGGCGCGATTCACAACGTCCCGACCAATCAGAGCACACTGTGATCACAGGGAGGGTGGGGGCTGGAGCTATTGGAGCTCCAACGAGCCGTTAAAGGCAGAGAGTGAAATTCAGTGAATACACGTAGTTTACAGAGATGCTGTATGAGAAACCAATGTGAGTTTGGAAAATGCACGATATAAATCTATTCTAGTAGACCTCAACAATGGAATTATGATCAGTAGAAATGGCCATGACATGTCTCCTTTAAAAACATAAGTTCAAGGGCTGCCTTATGAGTTGACTTAATATCAAAATGTACTTTGTTTCAACTCACAATGTTAAGTTATACAAGTTATTTTATTAATGATCATTCATTGTTATAACTTAATACATTGAGTTAAAGAAACTTACAATTTTACATTATCGATTCAAGAAATGTTCATTATCTAGTCAAATCAACTTTAACTTCTACCTTATCTTAACTCACAATTCTAAGTTAGGATAACTTTAACTATATTTATACCAACTGACAAATTCAAGTTATGTTGACTCATGTTTTCAAGCAATTGAACTTACATTTTCATGTTAAGTCAACTATAGTTTTCTATTTCTAACTCTTATTATAATGACAAGTTCCCCAGCTCCTTACACTTCTTACTGACTGAACTTAGAACATTAAACATCACCAAAATGTATATAAAAGGAGATCAAGGCTTGAAGTCACTTCAGATGCTGAAATGTTTTTATTTTTCAAGTAGAAACATAAATATACATTATACAACAGATATACATACGAATTATAACATTTAATTTAATTTTTGTAATTAATTTTACAAATAGGACAGAGGGTGAAAAGAGGTGCTGCAGCACAGACAGTATGAGCAAAAATAAAGAGCTTTTTGAACATTAAGATCTTTCTGAACATCAGCAGGAGAGGACTCTTCAAGACACTAAATACTGATATGAACCTGAAATGAACATTAAATGTTAAAACATCTTAAAGTGCAAGTTTCTTTGTGACACACTTCCAACATAAAGGGAATTCACCAATACTCTAAAACTGTCACTAACCTAAAACCTTTTTTTTTTTTTATAAACATGTCACTGTAGAGGCACAAAATACTTATTATAACCTGAAAATGAGCATTGGATACAAATGCACAACACCAAATTGAACTCACTATAGCGACAGCAGGAAACAAACAAAGTCGCTGAGAGGCTGAGGCCGGGCCTGTTTACTATTGTGTGACACGCTACAAAAAAGTACTTGCTGAGATCAAAAACTCTGTTGCAAAATAATGTGGTTTAATGAAAACTGGGATAATCAACTTATTTTCCTTGGACATAGACATTGTTATAATAATCAAAGCAATCATTAAACTTGCGGTCAACAACAAATACAACGACCCTGTGTCACCCTCTCTTCCACACACACACCTCACGCAGGTGAACAGGATTATAATGAGTGCCGCCCATATCCATGTGACCCAAGCCAATTCATCAATGGTGATCAAACAAATATCTTATATTAAAACAAAACGCATTACTATATACGCTTCATCGCTCCTACACACCAGCCTCTAATTATTAGGTTAGTATACATAATAATTACTAACATTAATGTTGTTTTTTTGGACGGACACAATAATTTACATTTTTTTTACTATGTTCAATCTGAATTTACTTTAAAATAAAAAAAATCTATATTGATTCTGACTCTTCTACATCCAACTCACAGGTTTATCATTGCTTTGAGAAAAAAGATTATTAATTTACCCCTTTTAGAAGTGAAGTTATGTTCATTTGTTATGGGAATGTCATTTTCGAGCCTGAGACCTGGAAAACAGGCTCGGGACTTATTGGGATCACATTATTGTACATCTTATCTTATCTTATATATATTATTATAATTATACTTCAAGCACAGTACTTGAGGCTAACACGTTTTTCAATGCACACAATGTAGAGATGTATGCAGAGAATGTGACGACTTTGAACTTTGTTAAGTGTTTAAGTCATTTTTAAAAAATACCCACACTTAAATTGCCAGTGAGTAATTTAAATGTAACATTTTATTTTCTTGTGTCAGCTGCATCATCTGTTGCTATGTCCTTTGATACTGGCTCATGTGAGTTACAATTATACTATAACACATTGTTATTTCTTGTGTAGGTTGCATCAAATCTATCTATCTATCAAACTGTTGGCTATATGTCGTTTGCATCATAGCTCTTGTGACTTTGCACTCCACAGGTTAAAAGAAGGGCTCGTCCGGGATTTGAACCCGGGACCTCTCGCCACCCTAAGCGAGAATCATACCCCTAGACCAACGAACCTTCTATATGAACAAAAGAATGCAAGACCAAAACCTCAACCCTTCATTCCTCCAGACACTGCAGTATAACTTCTCTCTGCTGACTGTGGCAGCTGGAAGACCCACGATGTATTTGGTGAAAGAGCACCCTCTGCAGCCACAGCATTTTTAAAAACCTATTCAGCATTTTTTTCCTCTCAGCTTTCACAGCATTCTCAAATAGAGCTGTGCTTCATCTTTTATTTTGTTTTGGCTAACTAACATTGACATCTGCAGGGATATATTTAAATGCAAGACAATTTACTAAATTCTTATGCTGTTAATGTTTTATGTGTTCTCCATTCAAATTAAGCCAATGCATATCATGAGGAGGCATGTTAAAGGTAGGGCACATTTTGTTTAAGAGCCTGGGACACCTTTGAGGAGGAAGTCAGAGCCCTTTTAGCATTTGCCTGTCCTTTTCATAAAGTCTCATCATAAATGAAAGTGTTCAATACATTCTACTTGAATACTGTATGTACTTATGTAAATTGTAAAAAAAAAATTTAAATACTATGTGCATGCCTTTTATATAATAGTGTTCTATTTGTATTCGTCTCATTCCTGTAACAATGTAAATTTCCCCTCTGCGGGATGAATTAGGAATTCTGATTTGGATCTGATTGTAATACTGAATACTGTAAATGAAGAATTTATTGTGAGAGCTCTAATGTCTAAGTGCCTTTGTATCATCTGAGAGCTGCATACTTATTTTAAAACTTGAGGAAAGTTTAGTTCTCTCTGTTTGTGCAATTGACATCTGACAATACTAGTTAAGCTGTTTTATGTAACTGACTGTGTGCTATCAGACTTAGTAAAGTACGTCAAAAATACAGGGCTTGTCCGGGATTTGAACCCGGGACCTCTCGCAACCCACAGCGAGAATCATACCCCTAGGGAAGACCAACGAGCCAGATGATAGGAGAATAGGGGTCAACAGCTGATCATGTCATGATGTGGCAGATTGTAGGTCAAATGCTCGTCTGACTGAACAGCACGTCCTTGTGGGTCATTAAGTAAACAGCAAATTATCACTTGAGACATTTCAGAACCAATAGTCATAACTATGATTGTAAACATTTATAAATGAACAATATCAAATTGTATATCAAAACAACATGTATTTGTACAGATATAGCCTACGGATACAGTTTAGCTTTTAAACTAATCCAATTATTTTGGAATAGTCACAAATCATTACAATGCTTGTCCTTGTTCATGATGGTTCATACCAATTGTCATATTATACAAACTTCCCCATTAAAACAATGGTGTAAAAACTATTCTGTTACCTGTCATGTCATGTAAATGAATTGCCTGCAAGTCATCGTTCGGGTCTTACCTTAACCCACGCTTTCTTCACTGTCCGCATGGCGCAGGCGCATGTGCCAGTAGCTTTCGGCTAATTCACTAGCAGGACCAGTGCTTACCAAGTACTCGGTTTTGAACTATATTAACACGATGGCAACTGGAGCCAAACGACCCAAGGTTACAATTTAATAATTTCAAACCAAAAAACAAAGATGATTAATCTTGGGCTGTTTGTACATGTGTGTTTGTATCACTTAGATATCATACAACGTAGAGCAAGCTTCACGTGTGAGTAACGTTAGCTGCTTCAGGTTCATGTGTTGTTTTATATTGTTATGTACGGTGAAGTTAAGTTCAATGGACTTAACATAACGTTATCTAGCCATAGTTATTAACGTAGTTACAATGTTTACACTGTTGGTGCGGTAGAGATGACTGTCACTGTATGAAGTAAAACTAAAGCTCCGTATCACTAGGTTACACATACCTGCTCACATTAATAACTCAAGATGTATCCATGCGCTAACAGGTGGATACGGTTTCAGAGATGAATCCGCTGCAGAACTTTCTACAGTGGTGCAACACAGTCGGCCTGAGACTCAGCCATAAGGTATGTTGAAGCTCTGGAGCCAACTGACAGTCAGGCAAACTATATGATCCGTTTAATTCCCTGATTTCTTTTTCTTTCATATTATCTACATTGGCAAGGTGTTTTAGCATCTCTCTCTGTGTAGGTGTGTGTGAGTAAAGAGGGAACAGTGGCAGAGTATGGGATGCTGGCTAAAGACAACATAGAGGAGGGGGAGGTTTTGTTCACCATCCCCAGATCAGCTGTTCTCCACCAGGAAACAACCAAGGTTTCTGCCGTGCTGGAGAAAGGTGATATATAATTACATAAGAGGCTTTCCCAGGATTGAAGCTCCTCTCTGTTTGTAACCCCTTCTCTTACCTTTCACAGAAAAGTCATCTCTGGAGAGCTCGTCGGGCTGGGTTCCCCTGCTGCTGGCTCTGCTGTATGAATATACATCTTCGCAGTCCCAATGGAAACCCTACCTGTCTCTGTGGGCCAACTTCAAGACACTGGACCACCCCATGTTCTGGTAAAAATAACTTTTAAATCTGTATCTGAACTCCATCGTAAAGATCAGGGCTGCCACAATATCTTACTTTTTTGGTATGAATTAAATTGAGGGAGCTACCATTACATTATAAAGTTGATATTAGATAAACAAGGACCATGCATAAAAAACGTTATATTAATTTGTAGTTATCTTTACAGTAATTCAAAGTTCATCCGTTCAGGTCTAAAGAGGAGAGGGACGGACTACTGAGGGGAACGGGTATTCCAGAGGCTGTAGAGACAGACCTGGCGAACATCCAGAGGGAATACACAAACGTGGTTCTTCCCTTCATCAGAAAGCACCCTGACCTCTGGAACCCCGGCACACACACACTGGAGCTCTACACACAGCTTGTGGCCTTTGTCATGGCCTACAGGTTAGTGAGCACAAGCCGAAAAACACTTTTGTACGTAAAGTATCCAGATCTTTCTTTTTGTGTCCTTCTACATTTGAAATGTAACCCTGAGATCCCTTTAACCTTCCTCCTCTTTGTAGTTTCCAAGAGCCACAGGAAGAGGAGGATGATGATAAAGATGACGAGGAGGAGGAAGAGGAGAAAACGAAACCCCATACCAACTGATGATGGTTCCAATGGCTGACATGCTTAACCATGTGTCTAATCACAATGCTATTCTGGAGTTTACGCTGGTGAGGGGCCATCGAAGTTTTTTTTTCATAAATGTGTGCACAAAGTAGGGCTGTGCAATTAATCGTATTTTAATCGCAATTACGATTTGGCCTGCCACAATTACGAAAACAACATAATCGGAAAAAAACGATTATTTTGCTTTTGCTAGGTTGTGACAGTGCACTATTTATCATATTTATATATGTTTAGTAGCTTGTTGAAGTGCGCTCCAAAATATTTGTTGATCTTGTTTATTGGTATTTATTATTTTTGATATTATTTATTTAAATGTAGATATAAATGTATCATTTAATTAATTTTTGTATTGGTTTTTTCAGTTGAATTATACGCTCAGTAAAAGAATACTGTTCAAATTATTATTTGTATTTAAAAGTTCAATAAATGGATGTTTTCAAAGTCAATGAATAATCGTATTTAATAATCGTGATATCAATTATTGACCAAAATAATCGTGATTATGATTTTTGCCATAATCGCACAGCCCTAGCACAAAGTGTTTTTTGTTTTTTTTTAAACCTGGGAATTTGACATTGAAACTTTGAATGAACTGCCCAGTTAACATTGTTCTGAACTCTCAATTTTTCACAGGACAGTTTGAAGATGGTCTGCGTTCGCCCCATTCATAAGGGCGAGGAGGTGTTTAACACTTACGGGCAGCTGGCCAACTGGCAGCTGCTGCACATGTACGGCTTCACGGAGCCACATCAAAGCAACAGCAACGACACCGTTGACATTCCCATCATCAACCTCTACAAAGTCGCAACACAAGGTATTTTAAGAGTTTGCAAACTACAGTATCACAAGAGAGAAGCGTTGAAGAAACGATAACACTCCCTCCTCATCTGCCTTTTCTTTTCCCAGGTGTTCAGTCTGATCTGGCCCGGCAGCTGGTGGAGGAGAAGTGGGAGATGCTGCTTGAGTTGATGCAAGAGAAAGCAACCTTTGTGTTTGGCAAACAGGGCTGCCTTACAGATACAGAGCTGCATTCTGTGCTCAAGGTGAGACATGCAACAGAGCAGTTTGCTTACACCATAACTGTAAAAACATGAGCACTTTGTTGACGAAGTTTGAGGAACGGCTTATTGGACAATCTTTTTGTGTCTTCAGGTGCTGTGCATGTCAGAGGAGGAGTTCTCAGAGTTCAAAGACCACGAAGGATGGGAGGAAGATGAGGAAGACGAGATTTCCCTTGCTTTCTCTTACGAGGGTCTCCCTGGATTAAATGCTTCGTGGAAATGGCTAATTCATGAAGCCGCCCGTCTGACTGCGAGTTCCTACGGAGACTGGGAGGAGGGAAGGTCTGCACCTGAGGGACTGAGCAGCCGGCAGCAGCGTGCCCTTCAGGTGCGCTGCGGACAGAGGAGCATCCTGCACAGACTGATGGAGCTCACCAAGTCATGACTCTAGCAGTGAGGCAGACCACATGAGGAATTTCTTTTGATATCAAGAAGCACACCAAAATGTCTCCTAAAATACCCTGTCAATAAATATTTTTTTTCAAATGTCAAATGATTTGTGCACTTATGTACAGTACCAGTCAAAAGTTTGGACACATCTTCAAATTCTATATTTAAAAAAAAAATGTTCTACATTGTAAATGTATACTGAAGACATAAAAACTATAAAAGAACACATATGGAGTTATCTAGTGTTAAAAATATGATTTATATTTTGCTGGCTACTGCAGAATGCTGTGGTAGTTATGCTGGTTAAGTGTGCCTTGAATTTTGAATAAATCACCAACAGTGTCACCAGCAAAGCCCCCCCCCCCCCCCCACACCATCACACTTCCTCTTCCATGCTTCACGGTGGGAACCAAACATACAGAAACCATCCGCTCACCTTCTCTGCGTCTCACAATGACACGGCGGTTGGAACCAAAAATCTCACATTTGGACTCATCAGACCAAAGTACAGATTTCCACTGGTCTAATGTCTTCCTTGTGTTTCTTGGCCCAAACAATTCTCTTGTTCATCCTCAGTAGTGGATCTTTGCAGCAATTGGACCATGAAGGCCTGATTCACGCAGTCTCCTCTGAACAGTGGATGTTGAGATTGTCTGCTACTTCAGCTCTGCGATGATTTATGTGGGCTCTAATCTGAGGTGCTTTAATTTGTGATTTCTGAGGCTGGTAACTCTTATGTATTTATCCTCTGCATCAGAGTTAACTCTTGCTCTTCCTTTCCCGGGGGGGGAAATAGCGTTCAATGGTTTTTGCGACTGCACTTGGAGACATTCAAAGTTCTTGACATTTTCCGGATCGACTGGCCTTCATTTCTTAAAGTGATGATGGACGGTCTTTTCTCTTTACTGAGTTGAGTGGTTCTTGCCATAATATGGATTACAACAGTAGTCAAATAGGGCTTTCCACTGTGCACTAACCCTACCTCTGCACAACACAACTGATGGTCTCAAACACATTAAGAAGGCAAGTGATTCCACAAAGGCACACGTGTTGATTGAAAACCATTCCAGGTGACGACCTCATGAAGCTGACAGAGAAGCCAAGAGTGTGCAAAGCTGTCACCGAGGCAAAACAGGGCTACTTTGAAGAATCTCAAATATAAATCATATTCTGGATTTTTTAACACTTTTGATAATTCCATGTGTTCTTTCATAGTTTTCACGTCTTCAGTATTACTCTACAAAGTAGAAAAAAATAAAACACTTCGAATTTGAAGGTGTGTCCAAACGTTTGACTGGTAGTGTATATTATATAGATGTTTTGCACAAAACATTATATATGCATGCTTTGCAATACCTAATAAATGATTTCATTCGTTTCCCATTTAAGCAAATTTAAACTTGATGCAGACATACAGCAAACATTCAAATAATGCCATATAGGAGTGTCTTAAATAGAAGATAACCAATGCATATACTACTTGAACATTAACATGGTGGGTCTGTTAGCCATCCATCTTTTGATATGCAATATATTTTTATTCTCTAATGCTTTCAAGACATGGCCACTTAATAGTCTGGATGTATAAAAGTAAAGGTTTCTTTTCCTAATAAAAACAAACAAAAGTACACTGCTTCAAATGTAGGTGCACAAATTAGTAAACACATTTAAACCTCAAAACTAATTCATGTTACAGTATGTACAGTTCCAAGGTATATTTGACTATATATATATATATATATATATATATATATATATAATCAAATGAGTTATTTTAAAACACCTGGTATATTAGCACCATCACATTACTAGTGCAGTCTCTGAATGAACACAGATGCTTTGCAGTTTGAATGCTTTATTTCCTGTATGTATGCATACTGCAGTTAAGTAGCAAGAACTAAAGGCAAACTAGAAAGGACTACAAAATACAACACATGGACCAATACATTTACAAAACATTCAAAATGTTACAAAATGGGCTGTATTGGTCCTTCTATTGTTGTTCTTCAATTTGGATCTTTGTACAAATCGTAAAGATACGATGTCGCCATCACTTTGCACAATATACAAGTGCCAGGGAGAGACTTCCAGAGCCAGTTTCAAACGGACAAACCACCAGCAAACTGTCTCCACCGACACACCGGGAGAAGAACCCCACCCCACCCCAACCGGGGGACTAAACTTCGTCTTCCTGTCCCACTCAGGGATAAAAAGGAATCAAATGAAAGTATCAGGCAGCGATTTTCTTCAATCTACCATTCAGCCTCTGAAAGCACAAAAAAAATTCAGGAAAAATAGGATTTATGTGGGAGGGAAGCAAACCAAGGACTTTGGTAGCGAGTGAAAATATGTTTGGATGTCTTTACATGTCAGGATACATTTTATTTGACATGTGCATTGCTCTCCACACATCTACTCTCCCGTTCTCCCTTTTTTCCAATATTTACATCAAAGCTTCAAAAAAGTATATTAAACAGCATGTCCCAATCCATTCTCTCCATCTCAATTCAGCCCCAAAGGGATTAACAAAAATCTAACTCTTTAGATCCGTGAGCAGTAGTCATCCACATTTCAAATGACTGTGGTTGCCAGTTTATCCAGTGCCGACAGTGAAGAGAGAGGTGTGTGTGGTGGGGGAGTGGGTCAAGGCCGTGGCATCTCTCCCATGGGCTGCGAGCGGGCTGGTGCACAGGCTAGCTGGCACCGGTGCCCTCCATCACCTGCTGGGCCTGCTTCTGTCCCATGCAGCACTGGGCTACTGACTGGAACAGCCTGAGGAGAGAAGATGAATGTTAACGTCTCTTAAAGAGCAACACAACCATGTCCTAGAACAACGAGTCTAAAAAGGTAACCTACTTTTCAATCTCGGGGGCACAGTGCACAAAGTCGTGGCTCCAGAACTTGAAGGCAGGGTTCTTGATCAGCTCGATGAAGGTGATGAGGAGCCCCCATGGGTGAGGCCTGTTCACTATCAGCCTCTCCAACAGAACCCTGGCAGAGAAGGACAAAGCATGAACTTACTGCACATTTAGGAGTAGGATTCCCTTGGGATGACTCAATGTATTCCTTCATCTCAAATAATTACTAATACAGGCATATTTGTATGTTGTAGAACAATAAGTAAACATTTCTTAAGCTTGTGTTAACCAAAGAACTTATCTCTACAATAGGGCTTCCAGACTAGGTAACTAGAAGTGGTAAAAAGCTAACTCATTTCTGGGAAGTAGGACTCATTCGTGGCCTACTTTATATATAGAGATTGTTTTACCTGGTGATCTGCTCCTGGATGGCCTCGGTGTTGGCCTCAGCGAACAGGTAGAGCATGGTGCAGCTGAAGTAGTGGGTGTGGCTGTTTGGGTAACGCAGTTGATTGGCGATCGCGTTCAGGAACAGGTAACGCCCTGAAAAACACATGACAGCAGAAACCTGATGAGTAAAAAGCTTTGATTCACCTAGCTCTTATCTACCATTGGACAGAAACTGATGTGGTTTGTCCACTGCCACCTTACCCTCAGTGTCCAGGTCCACGGCCAGGTTCTGGAAGATGTCCATGTGTGCAGAGTGGGTGATGGTGCTCATGGAGGGGGTGCTGCCCTTGTTGTGGATGTGAGCGATTGCCTGTGTGCCCACATACAACACCAGCGCGTTGATCAGCTGGATGTTGTAGCGGTTTCCTGGCTCGTTAGACACCTGGGAGACAAAAGAAGGTCAATAAAGAAAATAATATTGCCCTTTTTGAAGACCATGACCAACTAAATACAATCAGTCTGCACTGGTCCTACCTGCAGGTTGCTGCGCAGCTCAGACAAGAAGGTGACTGGTGACCGAGTCTTCAGGTACGAGTCCAGGTCCTTCTTGAACTGGGAAGGCATAACGCCTGTGAAGTTGGTGAGGATACGGGGCGCGATGTTGATCTCACTCAGCATGTCCACCTGCAGCCGGGGTGTTAATAAAGACACAGATTTATGAGAACAGCTATCAATGTTGACAAGTTCTAACAAGGCTGAAGAGGTTCTGCCGATCTAGAACACACTTAGAAACACCAGGGCGTGTGTAATTAACAGATTATCTTAAATTGTGTGTATACCTTGAGGTTGGGTGTGAAAGGGTCCGGGAGCCTCATGTTGCGTGGGAAGGCACTGAGGATGAGGTTGCGGAGCTGGATGCAGTTGGGTGGGATAACATCACAGAAACCGTAATGGTAGTCACACAGGAACTCTGGGAAGTCGTGCAGCAGGACCAGTAGCACTCGCAGGGTGCCCTGAAACAGCCGACAGGGGGAGAGAAGAGATTAAGTTCAGCTGTTGTATTTCAAAAATGTACACATTAGACACATAAGTCTATAGCCACATAATTACCAAATCATGCTCCAAAACAACACGCTATCAGACAGAGTCATGATACACAAACGCAGATATAACCACAAGTTTCCCTGTTATCAAACATGGCAGTACTTTCTGCAAGTTAATGTACGACAACTGAGACGCACCTTGTAGAGGATTTGCATAGGTTTGTTGAGCTCTACATTCCTCAGGAAGGGGGCCAGGTACTTGAAGAGATCAATCAGCAGCTGTGCGTACATGGGCCATCCCTGTGAGAAGAACCAGTTTATTAGAGCAACATTTATAAAAAAAAAAAAAAAAAAAACACAACATTGTAACAAATGTAGAACAAAGCAACAGTTATGAGTTAACAAGACTACATGTAAGGTATACTAAGTGTGTACAAATTGAGATTGTCTTATTCTTGCTTACCTTCTGCTGCGGTGTGTGCGCTAGCATCCTGGCGATGAAGATGCGGTGGGAGATGAGTTCCAGCCAGGCGTACACAAAGCCGGGCGCTTTGGTTGGTCTCAGGATGTGGAAGGTATTGCTACAGGTAAAAAAAAAAAGACAAAAACATTTACATTTTGAGCACAATTTTAGCACTAGCCGAGCTTTTTCTATTCCAACACTGAACACAGATGTCTTACCAGAAGGCCGTGAGCGTCTGAAAGTTGATGGTCTCCAGAACATGTTCTGGAGCGTTGAGCTCCAACAACAGCATGATGAAAATGCGGTGGTACGGCAGCTGCTGGAATTCTGTCTGACGGACATCATGGTCCTGAATCAGGACCCC